TTCATGATTCATCAGTAAGAGAGAGACTGGGAATAAATGGCATCCATGGTAGATTTCCAGGGCCAAACTACTGCTGACCGGAGTGAACATCAAGGCCCGTCTTACATTTACAAAAAATTATCTCGGTGATCCCCACGATCGGCTGTGGACTGATAAGACTTTGTTGAAACCTTTTTGGAAGGTGTCCTGTTACATCCGCTGGACATCTAACCCTATTGTTTTCACTAAGGATGGTACCACCATTTTCCCATATGGCCTGGTTGGTTTGGATAGCTTTTTTACTTAATTACTGAAAACATAATTTGCCAATATTATCTTTGTTTGATATTAAAATTTGTTTGATTATTCGAAATGTTTAATTGTGACACAAAGTAAAAACAGGAGAAATCTGTAAGGGAGCAAATACCATTTCAGAGCACTGCACTCTGTTTCCCTGTGTTTCAGGAAGTTTCCTTTCCGTCTGACATACAGGTGATTTTTTCATTATTTTTTCGAGGTGGATCCATCTTAGTCTCTGATGCAGAGACCAGACAATAAGCATCCCCCTCAAGGCCCCATTAAAGCAAAACCCAGGGTCTGCAGGTTTGATATTCATCGCCCGGGCAACCTCTGCCATCAACACATTTTGAGCCACGTGAGAATGATCACAGCTTATTAAAGAGGAAATAATGGCTGCTCTGCCTCCGGCATGAAATATTTAACAAGGACAAAGGAGATGGCTCAAAGGTGATTCATATCTGTGTTGAAAGGAGAGTGCACAGACAATACTGTCCATACAGGAAGTGCATGTGACCCTTTGCTAACCTGAGCTGAGTAGGTGCTCTCTGTGGCTGATTTTTTTACCTAACAGACTATGACTACGGTGGCAGAGGGTGTTTTGATTTAATGTTTATTAGCTATAACAATGATATTGGTATTAAAACAAGCGACTTCAAGGACACCACACACCCTTCTTCTCATCTCTTGACATTTACCAAGCACACAAAGCAGCCATATAAATTCAGCTTTAAAATGTCTGTTTCATTTTAAACCATCATTTCAGTTTAATCATTTCTCTTTCCAACCCAGCTCAGGATATACACAGCATTGAATTCCCGGATGTGAGAACATTGATGTATTTTCCCTCCAACTTGGGTAAATTAGCTCTTTTGGCCTCTTGGGAAAAATCTGGGGAAAAGGAGGAGAGCGAAAATTGTTCTCCATCAAGCGCGATTGAATTGGATTTCACAAGATGAATTGCCAAGACAAGAGTTTATCCCAATTACATTGCCAAGAGGCTCTAGTCCTTCTGTGGCCACTCTGTTCAACAGCAATTAGGGTCAGCTTTTAGTTACCAGGATCCTCCATTGTGAAAAGATGTTTACAATTTGAGCAGAAAGTAGATAAATGCATCAGTCCAACAGTCTGAAGAAGTTAAAGTGGTTTGTGGTCTGAGCCAAGAACTCACAAAATTACAGATCTGACAGCCAAAACATGAGGGGAGGAAAACACAGCTGTTACCCATAGCCTACACATCTTTTAATCTACTGGAGCACAGCACAGACCGCAGAGACCGCCCCTGATGTTTTGTGTGGAGGTCCGTTTTCTCTCAGTTATGTTTTTGTCTTTGATGAAACCTGAATGATTTTCAGGGGTGAAAACACATAATGTCTTTCATCCGTGATGAAGACCACATTTACCTCAGACAGAATGGCAATAAGGCTGTGTCTGGCATTTATGCTTCTTAGTCTTACCTTCCCCAGGCTAGGGGCCCACAGATATCTCAGACTGAAAACGCAGACGGCTAGAACCAGAAACACCACAGCCAGGACCAGAGCCACCCAGTGGTAGTTGTAAGACCTGGTTTTCTTCTGTTTTTCTGCCTCCACCTGCAAACAGCAATGGTTTATAATTTGTTTGTATAACCATGTTCAGGTACAGCTTAATACATTAGAAATAATCAAAAAGTTGTTTTAGTGAGTTTTAGGTTGACCTAAAGAAAAGTATGTCCATGTAGTGTACAGTATATGCACTCAATACTTGGTTGTGGATTACAGTATCAACGCAGCGTGGCATGGAGGTGGTGAGCATCTGGCTCTGCTGAGGACTTAACAGTCTTCATCTTGTCTGGATTGTTGGTTCTGGTGTTTTTTATCTTTCTCCTGGCAACAATCCATAGTCTATCACTGAGGCTTAGGCCAGACCAGTTTGCAGCCCAAGCAAGCCAGTGAAACCTTTGTCATTAAAGTAGGTATTGGTGTGTTTGGCAGTGTGGACAAGCCCTGCTGGAATATAAAATCAGCATGTTCATAAAGCTTGTCAGCAGAGGGAAGCATGAAGAGCTCTAAAATTTGGCGGAAGACAGAAGACTTTAGACTTCATTAAATACGGTGGACCCACAGCAGCAGATGACATAGCTTCCCAAATCAACACTGATTGGGGAAGCTTCACAGTGGACTTCAAACAACTTGGATTCTGTAATTCTTCCCTCCTCTTCTAGTGGGTCTGACTTTGGATAACTAACCAAAAATCCAGTAGTTTCTCCTAAGCCCAGGTAAGATGCTTCTGACGTCTCTGGTTCACGTAAAGGCTTACAAAAATAAATGCAACAGTTGTAGCTCATGTTCTGGAAATATGCCGCAGTCCACACAAGGTGATTAGCCTGCTTCACAATGCTGTTCCTTGTGCACCTTTCTCTACCCCATGTTTTTCTTCCACTAAACTTCTATTATAATACATGCATACAGCAACTTTGTGCTTAACCTGCCTCGGGGAGGATTACTGTCTGTTAGACAACTGTCAAATCAACAGTCTTCCCATGATTAGCCATTATATAACATGAACAATCTGAATTAAAATATGTTGCTTGTATTTTTTATTGTAATTTTCTATGAATTTGGGGAATAATAATTTTTCCTCAACTGTACCTTATCATTTATTTTTAGGGTTCGATCCGATTTGATTTTAAACACACATTACTGTTTAATTTTATTTTTTTATCAGGCATGTGCTGACTGTTTTAGTGTTAATGCTTTTCAGTCCTGCCTTCCCTCAGTTTGTGCCAAAATTTAGTTTAGTCAGTTTGGATCTTTCTGCTTCTTCACACTCTTTATTTTTGTTAATAAAAAGGCACCTTTTTTTTATTACTTCATTTTGTTGTGGCGAAAGCAGCATGAAGTTAACTTTTTCTGTCTGTTTGTGTATTTAATCAAGTATAAAAACAATACAGTGAAATATTATTATCACCAGACTGTTCTAGCTGAAACCTGAGACCTGACTACTGGAAATAACCTGAGTTCCTACTCAGTCTTTGGTAATAGTGAATACACTTTGCAAGATTGAATTTTAAACTGATGCCTATCTCATTCCATTTGTAGGTTCTGCATGTGTGTCACTCAACAAAGAAAGAAAACTTCCACTGAAAAGGCTGGCAATGAGAGGGCCAAAGGAAAAAAAACACACACGTGTCACAGATAGGTTAAGTTTATTAAACTTCTTTTCGGATTAAAACCCTGAGCTGCTGACAATTCCCCAAGCTTGAGGACACAAATTAATAAAGACAGTCTTTTGTTCCAGTGGAGATCCAGCGGGGAGAAAATGAAAACTTCTCATTCACAGTGGACCACATCTGAAGGTCTCAGAGGAGAGCAGAAAAGCAGATACGTGAACAAATGGAACCAAGTTCAATTAGCAAAATTGGTGTTGCTTATCTTTATGTCTTTAAACTGATGATAAAGCAGCTTTGGTTTTTATATTGTGGCTAAGCTTGTTAGAGTTGTTAAGCATATTGTAGGTTGGCCAGAACATTTACATACTTGCTTTTAAATACAATACAGTGCTTTAAAAATATTTGTACTGCTTTAACTTTTTTTTTTTTTTTTTTACATTTTATCACTATAACATCACTGACTTTATTACATTTTCTTGGGGTTTTATGTGATTGTCTATCTTTTGCTGCTATTACAGCTTTTGCCGTACGTCTCAGCCCACCTTGAAGAAAGACTTAAAATGTAACCTGTTCTTTGTAAAAACCTTAAGCTCAATAAAACTGGATGCATGACTCAACTTACATTTTTGCTTCAGGTTGTCAATAGGATTTAGGTCTTGACTTTGACTGGACCAATCTAACATAAATATGCTTTAATCTAAACCATTCCATTGCAGCTGTATGTTTAGAGTGGCCCTGGCAGGAAGTCAACCTCTGTCCCAGTCTCAAGTCTTTTGCAGCCTCAAACATGTTTTCTCTATCTCCCATCAGCTGTAACCTGCTTCCCTATCCTCTTTGAATAGAAGGATTCCCACAGCATGATTCTGCCATCACCATGTTTTATCCTGAAGGTGGTGAGTTTAGGGAGAAATGCAATCCCAGTTTTTCACTATAGGCAGGGTTTTACGACTGTGAAAAAGTTTTTGTCTCATGTGACTAAGGTATCTTCTCCCTGTGACCTCTATGTGATTTGTGGCAAACTGCAAAAGCACCTTCTTACAGTTTTTGTTTAACAATGGCTTTCTTCTAGCTGTTCCTCCATTAATGCCAAATTTTTGGTGTGCACCACTGACAGATGTTGGATTACCAGATTCTTCAACCTGAGCTGTGGATATATACAGCTCTTTCAGAGCTGCTTCAATGATTAGTGCTCTCCTTGCTTGGCCTGTCAGTTTATGAAGATGGTGTCAGTAGGTTTCCAGTTGTGCTGTACTCTTTCCATGATTATATGATGGATTGAACAGTGCTCTGAGAGATGTACAAAGCTTTGAGTATTGCTTTATGGTCATCATGATGCTGCATTTTTTTACTCATAATCTCTAACAAACATCTGAGGCCTTCACAGAACAACTGTAATTATGTAAAACGGGTAGTCTCTATTTACTAATTAGGTGACTACTCACTTCTGGTTGCATTGGATTTACTAAGGGGTGTCATAGTAAATGGGGTTGAATACTAATGGCAAGCACACTTCGTAGATTTATAATATAATGTGACAGGCTTTTTTTAGTCTATCAAAAAACATGCCAGTACATTCAGGATGACCAAGTGGTCTAAGGCAATGTGTTCAGGTCGCAGCCTCCCCTGGGTTTAAATCCCACTTCTGACAATCTCCTTTCCTATATCCTCACATGCAAGTCGTTTTGAATAGAAGCATATGCCAAATGCATAAACATAAACAAGAAAATACATCAAGGTTTGTGGTTTTAACATGACAAAATATGAAAATGTGTGTTTGGGAATTCTTTCTGAATTAATGGTTATGTAATATATTAATGGCATACAGTGAATTGAATTTTCAGATTTGAAGTGCAACAACCCTCTGACATTTAACTATTGCTTTTCCATATGATGAAATCTGGACAATTCTTCTTGGACTGCAGCGACAGAAATGTGAGGCACATTAAAGTATTGTTAATCCTCAGGGCCTAATGAAAAACAGACATGTACCGTAGGAGCCAGAAATTCCATACTCACTGAATTTCTCAGCGAACGTAGGGAAAGAACAGAAAAATAAATAAAAAACAGTGGATGAAATTCATTCTCATGTGGCAGGTTGCATAAGCAGTGGAAACTTAACGGGAGGACAAACCTCTTGCTGGCTGCTCTTTGAATATCAAATGCCCAGTGAGACAGATGGTTGGACAGACAGAAATAAAGACAGGGATGGAGCCGGAGTGAGCAGTCTGAGTGCACAGCACCTGCCAACTAGTGTTTAAAGGTTTAGGGGTTCAGAATCAGCCAGACAATTCCTCCTGAGCTCTGGGAGGAAAAGTGCCCAGAGCTCTCCTGTTGTTATCATGCCAAGAAAGAGCACTTTCTTAAAAATACAACAGAAACAAACGCCCGGTCGCCTACATAACCAACAAGCTGATGCTGTGGTTCACCCCAGCAGGCCATACTCATACCCACATTTAAATCCATGTGGTTACTGAAATAGGCCACAGGTGATTTCTTATTTGTAACCCTTTTGTGTCACTGAATATTCTTGGATTTGACTTGGAGGAGCAGCGACCTTTTCTGTAAGGCACAATGAAACAATTAACTTTTCATACTCTTATATGAAGGAATAATATTGTGCTGATTTCTGTTGCTTTATTCAAGCTCTACAAGAAATAATAGAAAGAGGGTTTCAGAACAAAAAAAAATCCCCTTTGATCCTTCATTTCAAGTAGCAGAAACAGCGAAAAGTCCATAAAATGGTTTGGCTTAGACAACAAAAGAGTGGAGATTAAGGTAAAAACCCCTGAAGGATTACCAGGACAACTTACATTTCTGTGAAATAAAAACCCAAGGGATAATTCTGTGAGATATCAAGATACCAAAAATCCAGACTATTAAAATATTTAACTTGAATCTTACAGTCCAGTTTCACTATTTTTTCCTATCTAATTTTCAAAGCACTACTCCTGCCACATGCCCCTGCTTTAATGAGCTTTAAAATATTAAACTCAAAGCTCATTAAACTTAAAGCTCATTAACTAAGATTCAATGAAATATACATATAAAACATCTTTTTAAGTTCTCTTTGCAGCTGATGAATCGGCTGCAATTAAACAACTGGAAAATTAGAAAATATACTCACATCTTTCCACAAAACTTGCTGACTGATGGACTGACTGCTAGCCTCCATGATGCAAGCCCACAGGAGGAATCTTTCCGATCCTCTTAGCTTTGGAAAATACCAACGCAATGCAAGGCAAAGAGTCCAGGCTTCATTCGACTGCTGTAATTTGGGAGAGTGCAGAAAAGGGAGGGGAGTTTGGGATGGAGTGGAATAACTGAAGGAGTTGTGATAGCCATTAAGGCAAAGCAGATGTCCCTCCTGCACGCCTGCTCCCATTTTAGAGGTGGTAAAGAAATGTCAGGCCGAATAAGTAACCCTCTGTTAAATAAATTACAAACTGTTGTTGGATTATAATACTACAGAGGCTTACTAAAATCCCAGTGTCCTGGAAAACACAATGATTGAGCAGAAATAATTACAGTGGTTCCATAAAGTGTTCACAATAATGGTAAACAGGCAGGTTTTTATGATGTAAAAAAATTAAACCATGATAAATCTTTTTTATATTATTTCCACCTCTAATGTGACATTACAGCTAAACAAAAAATAAGTGGTTATGTTACAAGTTAACATGTAAAGAATGGAAAACCTGCAATAACCTGGTGCATACATTAAAACTGGAACTTTGTAAAACCACATTTTAACAAAATTTTATCATTCAATCTTCTTCAGTCTACACCTTCCCTCAATCAAAGTATTTCTGATTCACCTGAATTAATATTCAATTGCCCTAGCAAGATTTTTCTCAAATTTCCTCAGATCTGCATTTGCATCCTTTAGATCCTAAAGCTGAAGTTAACAAATCAACTGCAAAGGATCTCAGAGCATCAAGGAGTCATTCAACAGAAAAGCACAAAGAATTTCACTGCATTTTTGTGTGTGTGCATATACACACAACATTACAACGTGAAAACAGTCTTAAAGAAGTGGAGAAAGTTTGGCAATGAGGGTGAATGGCAAGGGGAGCTGCCAAGATGGTGACAGCTCCATTGCTGAGCCTGTAGCAAATTACAAAAAGTACTGGTTGGGTCCTACATGAGGCACCCAGCTCCTGTATCCTCCATATGTCTGGACTAATTTTTGGGCCACAATCTAAAACAGTATTTTGATTATACAAACAACAATGTACAGCATCAAAAGAACAGTTTATCCAGATTAAAACATGACGGTGGCAGCATGTTGCAGTGAGGTTACATATCACCAGATGGCACTGAGCTGTTTCACATAACAGCAAGTGTTGATCCAAATCCTTCAGGTATCTGCTAGAAAGCTAAAGATGGAGACACATTTTTCAGCGTCACAGTGAGCCCTAGCATACATGCCAGTTAACTAAAGCATGTTGTCACCACAGACATGGAATGGCTTAGCCAGATATCAGAACCAAATCTGATGGAAAAATCTGTGGGGTCACCTGAAGACGGCTGTGGACACGAGATGTCCTCATAGTATGACCGATTTGGATAACTTTTGCAAGGAGGAGTTGGGCTGAGTCAAGATATTACTTAGGATTAATATCTAAGGTGTTACTGGGTTATTGCATACTTTTTTTTTTTTACCTTTGACATTATTTCCACTAACAGATTTCTTTTCAGTACATTTTTTCAGGATAGATGTCAAATCAAAGGTGGAAACACTTTTGGGATGATTTATCATGGTATCATTTGTTTACAGAACAAAAGCTGGCATTTAAACAGGTGTGTATACACTTTTGCAGTCCACTATGTTTAATTGATTCATTCAGATGCATTTTTACTATTTGATTTAAGTCTTTTTTTCTTTAGCATCTTGGGGAGATGAAGTACCTTCTCTTGGCTTTTGTTGCTCAGTTGAATCTCCTTAAACCAACTAATTCAGAAACCAAAAGCTGAGATAGCAGAACATTAGTACAAAGGATCCAACTTTACAAATAACACAGGAATTTGCAATTGTGAACATACAAATAAAACTAAGACTAAAAGATTTTTTTCAAGGACCGAAGATTATAAGTGAGTGTCAGTCAAGTTTTTATGACACAACAGAGAAATACTGAATCCATTCTTCAATCAATAATAAAACCTTTATCTTTAAAAATGAAAAAAATTTTCATTTCAAAAACATATCATACGATCCTGATTCTCGGTGAGTGCACACTCACTATCCCGAATGCCATATTGGACGCTGGTCTGCGACGAGTCTCCTTGTGATGTGATAAAATTAAACCACTCATGCAAGTCTTAACACAAGGACTGCACGTACATCAGGAGTACGAGCTGTAAACTGGTTTTAGGGGATTGGAGGGGGATGAATAACACATGCAGCAACTGGAGCTACTCAAACTTTAACAACCTCAGAACTGAGCAGGGCTCGTTGGCAGATACCAATCTGCTGGTCTGTTATTTTTTTTTAAACAGCAAGTGAAAAACTGAGACTTTGTCACTTTTATCATTTGTTTTGTTTTGGATGAATTACAACCCTTGGTTGTAGTTCATGGATTTGACTTTTAGAGAATAAGACGGAGAAGAAATTCTGGAAATACAAAATATTTTCCTTTGTTTATCCAGACATAGAAATGACCTTATCTAATTCCATACCTTCCCAGACAGCAAGGGAACTTTGACCTGGAACTTTTCCTGTTTTGATGGATTTTTACAATTATTTTCAGTTGCTTCAGCTCATAGCTGTCTGGTTGGGGTCACATTTCCTGTGAGTCAGCCAGATGCAACAGCCTCTTAGGCTCTGTAGGTTCTCTGTTTTAACTGAAGCTCATTAGTAGAATTAGGCTTGAACAGGTTTTGGTTTTGGAAAGTCAAATAACAGTAATTTTTCATTTAACCAGAAGGTTCTGTGGAAATGTATTCCTCGTGTCAGGCCTCCACCTGAGTGCAGGTCAGGGGTTAAGATGATGTCTTAGACAGCATTTGACACTGGTGTTATGCAGCCATTTTTTCTGTAATATTAACTTGCTGGCAATTCATTTTGTGAATCAAACATATTAAGGAACCAATACAGCACCAGTAAGCATTATTTTTTATGAGAATTAAATGTGTATAAAAGGAGGAGTCGAATAACCTGCATTTTTTCCCTAATTTTTACCATTCTTTTATTTGTCGGAAAAACACGTTTCAGTATAACTGATGAAATTATTTTTTAGCATTAGACCTTTATAACAGTTTTAGGGCTGTAACAATCACTGAACCCTGGCACTGGATGGCAGGTTTTACTTTTGTTTCTCGTCATCTAATCATGGATCTAATGTTGACAAACTACATTGTGGTAAACTGATTTGTCACTTTTGTGTTTTTTTTCCCCAATTTGAGCCTCATTTGTTACAACTATCTACCCAGGAACTATAGGACGAAAGAAGCAAATGTTGTATAACCAAGTTCAATGCATCTTTCCATGTTTACTAAAACGTTCATATTTTTTTTGTGCATTCATGACAAATGTGCATTCATTATTTGGACCCGCTGAGACCCTTCGATGCCCAACTTGTTCTGCCTTTTGTCATAGTTTTGACCGCCGACTTGATCCACATGCAGAGAACACTCAGGAACAGAGAACGT